CCTACCAGGTTGGGTAACAATGAGGACATTTACAGGGGGAGTTACCGGGAGGAGCTTTGATCCCATTGTTGTTCAGAGGCCATTGAACCTCTCCCAGTTGGCCATCTCCTTCATCTTACACCTGCAGTGGTGGCTCAGCAAGTTTCCAAGTTTTATATAAGGTAACCTTCCAGTATAATCCCTTTGTTCAATCACAGGGTCATGGCTCCACAGAACACATGACAGACCCACCTCCTCCTCCAGGAGAACCCTCCTGCTTCTCTCGGCTTGAATATATTTCCAGTTCATGCAGGGTGGGTGTCACCTGCTGAGCCCACAGCTGCAACTCACCTCGGTCCAGTCGGCATCGTTGCCCTGTGGAATGGTAATAGTCTCACTTCTGTACTCAGCCAGAACATCCTCATTCTCTGAGAGCAACTTCACGCAGAGCTCATAGAGGCAGCCGGCATCACTGCGCCCTGCATACCTGCAAGGAGATCCGAGCTGCTAGTCTTACCTGTGTGAACTCGGCAAAGAGCCAGAGCCCGCAACTGCATCTGGCTGAATGCAGGCTCTACCAATCTCATCAAGTTACCGGGGCCTTGGTTTGAGGTGGAAATCTGTAATGGCTCTTATCCCAACCCACCACCTCCCCTCATTGACAACAGGAACCTGGTCTTTAGAGGCTATATGCACCAATGGGTTGAAGCTTGTGGGAGCTGCTCGTGGCTTTGTAAGCCAAGACCTAGTCCTGTCCCACATCTAGGGGATCTGGCAGCTGAGGTTTTAAGGCCCAGTGCAGGTATAAGCCCTCCCTGCCCTTCCTTCTCTTTCTTGTCTCTCTGCCTGCCTTCTGAGGCATCCTTGCTACTTACCAGTCTTTTACCACAACTTTAGGCTGGGTTGTATCCATCAGCTCTTCCCAGTAGCCCTCAGCCCTAAGGTCAATGACCTGAGCCTTTCGACACCACCTGAAATGAGAGGTGTTAATTGGTATCAGTGTCTCCTGGGACTGGGGGAACCAAAAATGTCCCCTTGCCTGAATAAGAGAAGAAAGCAGCCTTACTCATAAGATGTGACAAAGTATTTATGGACTTCTTCACTAGGGAATTCTTTTCCAAAGTCTCCAGGGAGTTCTTCAATTTTCCAGCCATCACCTCCATTCTCTACCTCTCCCCAGTGCTGCAAGTCTTCTGCAAATGGCAGAAAAGAGACTTGGATGAGTCTTTAAGTTTCTGTGGGCATGGGGAACCTGACTTTCTCCCACTGGAACCTTTCTCCGGCTTGTGGAAGGTATGCTGTTAGGTGCAGCGCTAATTTTGTATGTGGATTATGGAGATGTTTGTTAAGTAGAGGTCAGGCAAAAACCTTTAGTCTGGTTGAACTTAATATTAACAAACTTTAACATTCCCCACCAAAATGGCTGTGTATGTGTGGGTTTATTTAAGAAAGTACTCCAGTGAAATTACCTAGGTATTCTGAACTGTGTGTTGGCACTTTCAGTGTCATAACATAGGAATAGCCTGGGGAGAGATGCTGATTGCTTTATTTCTAAATCTTCTGAATTGCTACGTGGTATGTCTAGAAGCAGTATGGCCCTAAACATTGGGCTTTTCTGGTCTTAGCCAGAGGGAACGTGGATGTTGGAAAAGCTCGCAGAAAAATAATCTGTAAACAAAATGGAGAAGCTGTGTTGATATTGCTTTGGTCTATGATGTGTGAAATGTATTTGTTGCTGCTTGGGTTATGAGGCTTGGTTACTGCTGCTTATTGCTAAGCATCTTGCAGATCCGGCAAGTGAAGTTCATAGATTATCGGAATAATGGCAAATGGGGTACACGCACAGCTCTCTAACACGGGCTGTAGTAAGGAGGGGACAAACAAGATTTGTGTGAGCTGCTTCAAAGAAGGAAGCCTGAAGTGGCTGGTGAGCTAAGGGCAGACTAGCTCCTGAGCAAGGAAAGGCTTTATCTTTCCTGTCATGGTTTGGCAAGAAGCAATCTGGAAATCCAGATGCCACTGCCATTACTGCACTGGACAGGGGTTCTGCAAAGGACACTTTTGTCTCTCAAATGTGATTCTGATCCCTGCAGGGGCCTATATAAAATTGATGTTAAGTAGAGCTCTTTGCAAAGGCTGATTATTGAAGGCCTTCATGGCCTTCAATTAAATGGTTTGACTGCATGCATTCAGTGATTTGACTCGGGCAAGAAGAAAATGCTGCAACCTGATGGCAACTAAAATCTGTTTTCAAAGACCAGAGACACACAATTCCCAGTGACCAGTCGTCTCTATGAAATCTTGGGGCTTGTTATGCTTGCCTCTTACCTTCACCACATGGGTTCTTGATGAGATTCTTCCTTTTCTTACTTAGGAAGTAGAAGTTTTGCCAGTTCTCTGCATTCTCCTCCGACTCTGCTCCAGTGAGGCCTTCCTGCT